GTGTGTATTGCATAGTGCCACATATTCTTGTGTTGAGGAAAGACTTAACTAGAGGCCCAAAGTCCATCTGATACCTTAATGCTTTAACATATAAATATATGTACATAGACCAATACCCCTTTCTTTATATTTTAATATATTTACATATATACATGTCTATATTTATACCTCTGTATATACCTTTTACCTCCTAGTTCTTTCCTCTATTTCCTTTTACTTTCTTCCTGCCCCACCATCATGTTCAGCCATCATTTGGCTCTCAAGAATTCCTCTCAGCTATGTTACAATTGATCAAACACCACCAGAGGTTCTAAGCCCTCCTCGCTGTTGATTTTAGATCCCTTGTTGTTCCCTGTCCCTGCGTTTGTTGGCTCCCTGCTCCTGGAAAGGAGTCTTTTAATGGGCAACTGAAAGGAGATATTAAGTGAGTAGGAGCTATAAAGAAGGGAATGGGCGTAACTCATCAGAATTCTTTTACTTATTTATCCTCCCTGCTGTATTCATCTGTAGCTTCAGTAGCACCAAAAGGATTATGTTAGTCCAAAAAGACTCTAATCTTAGCTAGCTTAGAGTATACAAATATATCCAAACTCCAAAACCAAATGCACTGCCATCGAATGGATTCCGATTCCCTGCGACCCTACAAGACAGAGTAGAAATGTGACTCTGTAAAGAGACTGTAACTCTGTATCGGAGTAGAAAGCGTCGTCTTTCTCCAAATATACCAAATGTGTACTGCATCCCTGTATTATGAATCATTCCCACTGTTGATGCGTTGAACGAGAGGGATGTTGTTCCGTTACTTGTTAAATAGTACTCTCGGTTTTCTCTATCCCCAGAAATAAAAACGAGCCTCCGGATCACCCGGTCCTGTCATCCCTCTCCATTCTCTGTTGTTACCATCAAGGGACCGTCATGAAAGGGTCGTTTCTGATCACTGTGGTGAGGCTTCCGCGAATCCTTCTCCTGGGCACGTACAACACGCTGAGAGGGAAGGTAAGGCAGCACCCTTGTGCACAGCACCGTGCGCACCTCCTGGCGGAAGGGGATCAGTGGCAGTGGCTTCCAGAGCATCCTGTTCTTCAGGCTTTCCGCCTCAACCCCCGTCCCCAGGCTGGGTTTTACTGCTGCCGTCCTTTGCTGGTGTTCGGGAAAGGGGGGGTTGGGTGGACCACATTAGATTTTCCTGGCCTACTGCCTGGTTTATCAGATCAAACTCAGCTCCATCGTGTCCCTGGCATTTCCTGTTTGAAGTAAGTAACATGGGGCTGAAGGACACATGCCCCTTTCTGCGGGCAGCGGGGCTGCTGTTACACCGCTCCCACTACGACTCTCATGTTCTCTCTTTCTTCCAGGATGATTTAAGTCACAGCAAAATGCAGCCGCTGCCAACCCTTGAAACATTTCTGGCTGCCTTCTTTTCCCTCCCTTGAAACTGAGGTCTTTGTCAAAGCCTTAATTCATCGTGACTTATTAGCAACTCGAGCAAGTTGTAGAATGGTCCATTCGGAAGGAGCCACGCTTCCCTTGGCGCCCGTCCGTGGAGCTGCTTCTCGGAAAGGGGCCTCCTTTTCTACAAGTGGCCTTTGCAGGGATTGAGCCCCTCCCTGGAAGGTTGCCTGGGCCCTCCCTCCTTTGCTTTCACTTTGGGGTCTGGGGGTC